TATTTTTAATTTATATATGTAGTTAAAAAAGAACCTAAAAATGCCAGGATTCCATAATATTTTGTGAATACATAACAAACCTAGTTGTTCATTTTCTTTATGCTGGCATGTAAGTCTACAGAGGGTGTCCAGGAACATGAAGCTGAATTTTAGTTTATTGAAGCATCCACTGTAGGCAACGTAGGCTGATACTTGCACATTGCCAGTGATCTCGGAATAAAGAGATGGAGGAGGAAAGTGCAAATTAGGTCTCCAGAACAAGTTCTTTCAAAAGGGTAGGAGAGCTAAGAACACAAATTATATTTTTTTCCTGGTTTTGATGACTACTGATCACCACTAGGTTATAAAAAGTTGGCTTAATATGCCCTACAAGTACAAAATTATCATTGTTAGAAAATCAGCTAGCATGCAGACAGGTGTAATGTGAACTCAAGTTCAGGCTTTGTTTAAGCTGGAATGCTCCATAGTGTCTGCAAAGACAAAACCATCCTTAAAACAGTGCTTAGCTTCACTATAACTACTGCATTATACTGTAACACTTTTTTTTCCCCCATAATCTTTGTTCTTTACACCAAATTCATCCTTGACCTCACACTTCCTGTGTGTAATTCAAGCTTCAAAAATTAGCTAAACTCAAACACCTTAAGTGTACCGTATTCCCCAAAATACGGTCTTTTTCAGAAAAAAAAAAAAAGAGCTGTTTATAATTCCTAGCTTCAAATTTGTACCCTTAACGTCACCAAAGCCTGCCTTCCTCTGTCAAAGAATGTTTCAGTTTCCATTGTTTCTGCTAAATAGAATCAGGTATTATGGTTATTTCAAACAAAGCATGACTTTTCTTTCAGGTTGGGCAAGGGGAAAGGGGGAAGTAAATGTCCAAAAAGCTCTCACATCAGCTGAAGTACCTTGTTCCCATCTTGCTCTCACCTCAAAAAATAATCCAAAATGATGACAGAACGTTGTTATTGTAAGGTTCTAAAATATTATCTAAATTAAAATGTAATATAAACCTTTTAGCATTTTTTGTTCCATAACTTCTTCAAAATGAAATCATTACTATATGGATGATAATAAAATTGAATAATCAGCTGCCTTTAAGGCATACATGTGCTACTCTTGCTGTTTAGAAATGTTTGGGAGCTAGCACTGTTAGAGCATGGATTCCACTATTACATGAAAATACCCGTTTGCTTTCTCAGAAGTAGAAAATATGGTACCAGAGTAACCAAGTCTCACCTCTTGGCACACCACCTTACTGATCCAGTCCTACAGCTTCTGGAGCAAATAATACAATTGCTTCTAGTTCATACATATGTGTTGCACTTCCGTGTGACTTCAGTTAATAGCCAATTAAAAATATATGGCAACATGTTAGACTAACAGCTCCAGCACAGAGCTCTAAAGTTACAGTATGCAGATCTTGACACAAGAGGATGGGAGACCACCAGCCTCTCAACGCTGCATGGATTCACTTCAGCACCTATAGGTTTGCAGTTCATGTTGCTCAGGTTCTTTGCCCTTTCCTCCCATCGTTCCTCACTGGTCATCACTTGTCATCAGTAAGGACTCATGAGAAGTTTGCAAATTTTACACCCTTCCTTTTTCTCTCAATAGCAGTTGGCCTAAAAATAGCTTTTTCTTCCTTCCAACTGGATATGCAGGTCAGGCTTGTCTCAAAGTTTGGGTCTTCATTTAATCTCTTCTAGCTTTGAATAAGTACTCTGGATTTCTGGCTCTAGCCTTTTCACAGTTCTTGTGCTGCAAGAGAAAGCTACAGCCACTTCCCTCTACAAAATTAGTATTTTTCATTATGCAACCATCACTATGAAATTAAGCATTAAAAAAAAGGTGCCTACACCCACCAGGCCAGAAGGAAAATACAGTATACCCCAACAATTCCCTACGAGCTGAGGACTAGGGGCCCACAGCTGTGGGATGCACTTCCGTGTCCCTTACTCAGTGTATAGGCGCTGTTTCTGGGACCTATACTCTTTCCATGCATTCACTGGCAAGCCCAGGTTGCTAGCCCAAGGCAATGCATCTTCCTAAGAGACAGAAGAATCCAATGTTACTGTCACCACTCCCTCTGGATTCCTTGCGGAAAGGATTTCTGCATTTACTCACCAGGGTAAAACTTAGCCTTACTCTTTTGTGGAAAATGTTTTAAGCAGAAGTCAATCATCTACTGGAAACCAAAAGAAAGGCTGTGCTGTTTCCTACCGCCCCGTCAGGTGCCTTCATTAACAAGCACCTATTATTAAATAATCACATACGAGGCAGATGATTGTTAGGGAAATCTACTATGACAAATCTTAGTCCCAGTTCAACTACTTAAAATAATCTTAGCAATAATTTAGCTAGGAGACACATTCAGCGTCAAGAACCAAACCCCAAAATAAGAGGCATTTTCCCACTAGCCTATTAGAAAATACACAGTATGGGTTAGCACACCTTTACGAATTCTATAAATCCAAATTAAATTCCTTTAGCTAAAAATTATATTCTCCCTGTCTGTATTTTAGTAATAAAGGTTAAGTAGTAAGCATCCTTTTTAAATCCATGATATTTAAAAGCGTATCTTTCTCACTGAAAGAAGAGCTGAAAGAAGCAAACAGTCTCCCTTCTGGGAACTATTATAACATCCAGGAAATGCAAACAGTTTTGTTTTTTTTTTTTAAATCTGAGAAACAAAGTATTTCCCCAAAAGACAACTATTCAGTGCCAACATCTAATCCACAATAAATGCAGTAAGTATGATATAATGCTTTAGGTAAAACTATCCTAAGGCAAAGCTTGAATTTTTACATCTCTCGTACTCTCAAAATACCAGAGAGGAAAGAAACAGAAATTTCTCTCAAAATCAGAAACCCAAAAGTGAGAAAGTCCAGCTACAACTTTAAAATTAGCAATTCCTAGAAGAAACAGGATGATTTTTTAGTAAAGCTTTGGTTGAAAAAAGTATTTTTATACCGGCTTAATAGACATGACCACTGAGAAGAACTCTCTGCCCAACTAAGGGGTCTCACATGTGATTTTTTAATCTCAAAAACACTGGCAAGATTGATAAAAGAAAAAAGCAGTTAAACCTCAAGGTGCTGTAATACTGCAGTGAAAGATACCTGTATAATAACAGGACAAAAATCTCTGCTACAGATTTATCACTACAACACAGCCAGCCTGTAAGTAGCTGCAGCAGCTGAGGCTAGAGATTTGCCTGTTTGAAGCTTTCCTCCCCTTTTTTGCAAAATAATTGTTCAAGTAAATTGCTTCCTTTGTTTTGTTGGCATTTTAAATGTTTCAAATGAAAATGCAGTAACATGCCATGATATGTTGTATTTGGACATTTATCTTGAGACAAAACTGAAGGCATGTAATCACAGCGCAGATGTATTCCCAATATATTAACTGCAATAAAGTTCTATAATCAAGTATTTAGCACTTATAACACTGATTCTCAGTTAAAAATATTAGGTATCACAGGTTTAGAATAGATCTATATGTATGCAGTTTCTGCCAAAGAAGGCAAATTATAGAATCTCAATTCAATTATGAAGAAAATAAGCCTAGAATTTAGCATAATTAAAACCAGCTCAGATATAAGTATAAAAAAGTATCTTAACTAGTATTGACAATGCATGGCTAAATCCAACCATGTAGGCAAGTTTTGCTTAATCTGTGTTTCTTTTTATGCAATTAAGTGGCTCTAAACTAAAAATTATTATTAGTAGCATCATTTCATAAATTACTTTGGACTTTCATTGAAAACACTGTCATTTTAATCCTTGTATACTTTACCTTTTCAACTTCTATGTCCAAAGTCTAAGTAACTTACTCAGATGCATAAAGGCCTGCAGTTGCCACAGAACCCCGTAATTCAGTAGGCACAGAAACAGGCATTTATTGCATATAGGTATCTACAACTTATGAAAGTTAGACAGCTGGGAAACCAGCAAGTACTAGCAGTTTCACAAACTCTAAGCCTAATTTCCTTTTTAAAAACTGTTTAAGTTCTAATAAGGAGATTTTAATCATGCAAATACAATACCTTAAACTAACATGACGTTCTTCAACACAAAAAAGCCCCAAACAAAAAATTAAATTAAGTAACATCTATTCCATCACATTGGACCTGAATTAAAGTGTTTGGTAATAAATTAGTTACAACCAAGCACTTGGTCTATTGAGAGTTCTGGAAGGTAACTTAAGTCTCCTAACTAGCTGTTGCTTACCTCACTAAGGTGAATAACCCATGAGTGTGTTTAGGTAAACTACCTGCTCTAAAACCCGGCAAATGAAATCTAGGTTTTATGTTATGGAGCAAAAAGATGAAACTTCAATTCAGAGGTAGGTACAGGTTAAGTCTTTATCTTTCATAACAAGCTTTAAGATTTATAGGAACTATGGCATGTTTGTTTTGGGTTTGGTTTGTTTATTTTTTAGCTGGCTGAGAGATATAAGCCTTTCTCAAGTTTCAAAACCTGCAGGCTAAAATAGTTTTAGTGTTACATACTGCTCCAGAAAAAAGAGAAATAACCAATACTTGGTCAAATGGGAGATGAGAATATCTATCACCCACCTTCATCAGTCAAGTGATCCCATTCAGTCTTCCTGGGCTAGGAAGCAAAAAAACCTTGATTTTTCTCATGTACTTAATTTTTCAGTAGTACACTAGATATTCATTATATTGACACTGTAATAAGAGCACTTGTATCAGTACTTTATTGTTTATGTTAATGAGTATTCTGAGAATGTACATATCACTGTAGGGGAACATCTCATCTTAGTCTTTCTGCCCTCACCCAACTCTAGGCATAGTGTGAAAAAACATTAATGGATTGTGTCAAATCATGCGTTAAAGATTAAATGGGAATGCTTATTCTTTTACTGCGTTTATCAAATAGGATAATTTATAATTGTTGAGGAATACTTCTTGCTTACAGAAATCCTTCTTATAGTAAAAACCATTTTACTAAGTGCTCATTCCAAGTATTACTGTATTACTATGGCAAATAAATAAAATCCTTGTTTCAAGCAGAAGGCTCCAAATTTGCTTGACCAAGAATCACTTTGTACTAAGCAAGCTTTCTGCTTTTAGAAGTTATTTTAATTTCATGATAAAAATATTTTGTCACATTTGACACTAAAATGTAAAGCCACTCTGGTAAGCATTGCTTTTCCCAGAGGAAGCCTGCTCTTTTAGCTGAGCGAGAGATGACAGGTAGGTCAATGTAAGTTAGTCTCATTTTCTGTTTATCTGGAAGTAATTCCAGTTGAGTAGAGATCAGTTGTAATAGCAGATCAATATTTTTGTATTTTGAAAAGGTGAAGTATTGTAGTATCAGCATCCTTTACCAAGCAATACAAGCGCAGGTTACTTGTATACAACAGAAATGTGACTGCTATCAACTTTCGCTGTCAGTGAGTGTTCTGTTAGACTACGTCTGTAATCCTGTATGTGAAAGTTTCTAATGTCTCATTTATGGTACCCCATCACCTCCTCCATCCCCACTTTCAATCAATTCATGTTTCTTCTTTTGTCTTGTTGCCAAGCATCGTGCAATGCCCAATGCACCTCCTTTTAAAAACCGTACAAAGTTGTCTCCCACCAGAGGACCTAAAGCAAAGAGGTTAGCTTCTTTAGTGCATTCGTAAGTGTATGGATCAATCTCTATAGGATTCCCCTTGCATGTGATGGGCTGATTAGAGTGATGACCTATGCTGTGTCCTTGGTCCTTTAGAAAAAAAAGATTTGGGTGAGAACCTATCAGAACTAAGGCTACAGAAAACTTCAAAATTTTCTTCAGTCCGGAGGCACTCTGAAGAACACATTTCATTTCAGGCTTGAAGGAAAGTACATTGTGTTCAGGGAAACTAGTGTAAGCAGAATGAAGATTAGAGTCCACAGTATGTGATTGAGTACACATCATATGATAGACCTTATGGTATTCAGGGTAAAGCTTTTTAGGTAACTGTTTGAAAATTAGACTTGTATCGGTAACTCTTCTACGAAACACATGGATTACTGGGATGTTGTTGTTGTAGGCACACAGTACTGCATCAGCTGCTGTAAGTCCAGCACCCACAATTAACACAGGGTCTGCCTTCCCACGTAACTTTCCTTTGCTGATAGCAGCTCCGAAGTCAGACATGGAATGAAGCACAAAAGGAAAGTCTTCTCCTTCAACTTGTAGTCGTCCAGGAGAATCAAAGGTTCCTGTGGCAAGAGCCACGTTCTCAGCAAAGAGGCAGAAGGGCACATGAGAACCATCTGTTGCTCGCTGATAACCTCTGACTTCCCAGTTTCTCTTAATTAGTGATTTCTGTCCATCTTCCATTTCCAAATGCTGGGTTGAAATATTTTCATTTAGTTGACTCCTATCTTCATCATCCTTTCCTCGGTAAAGCCTGGATACTGATGTTATGTAAACGTTGTCTCTGAAATTCTTTTGGAGGCCCATGACTGTAACATAGTGTTTATAATAACAAGCTATTTCCTCTGGCATTACGCGATCACTCTTTATATTTCTGAAACAAAATTGAATGGTTCCAGTTAATATTTGGACCTTATGGGTAATTTGAATATCATATATGACATACCACATGATAGTCAAATTTAAGAGGATTGAATCTGCTCAGTGTAACTGACACCGGGTTAAATATCTTTAAATGCATTCAATTTGTTTTATTTCTTCTCTTGATTCCTGATATACAAAGCTAACTTTTTTTTTTTAGCTGTAAATCTTTACAATGTAAAGCGCTATGGTGATTAACAAATTAAGCGTAACAAAACTCTGCAGTATCACTATAGGTCTGTATGGAAGTGTTTACAAAGCCAGTTTAGCATCATGACTGTGAGCAATACAATACTGGCTAAACTCGTACTCAGTGAGAATACACTTACTTAGGATATAAGTAATTAAATATCATAGTAATTGTTAAGTGGTTATTTTGAAACTCTAAGTTCAATATATTACTTGAGTCAAGTATTCTTCATTATACTTCGCAAAAGATCTATCCCTTGGGTACAGGGAGTTTCAGTAAGTATCAAATTAAGCAGTTCCGTATCACAGGAATGAACAAAGCAAGTATGACACAGAACCTTAATGCAACTATGTAAATAGGATTATGATGTCCAAGTGTCCAATAAAAAACATTTTTGCACTGCAATATTACATCTATGCTTTTCTCGTGTTTATTGCATTCTCCTTTAAAAAAAAAAAGCTGAAAATACAGTTATTTTGAACAGGTGCATGAATTTTGCTGCTTTTTTAGAAGTAAGCTTTAGGAATAAGACACAAAAGAAACAGTAGTGAACATCAGGATTGCCACTGAATTACACTTAAAAGCATATTTACAAGGAATTGGGCTACTCATTCTCATAGATTAACAAGATCATAGCATATGTACTTTGAAATGTTCAGGTTACTACTCTGAAAATCCTGATGAGGTATTTATTGAAGAGGATAATGCGACAGTGTGACACCTGTTACAAGGAAACTTCAGAAACTATTTTAACATGACTACAAGTTTTCATTATCATCAATACTTTTAAATATGTTTGTTTAATTGTAGTATAACAGGTCAGCATTTCTGGTTTTAGTATTGTTGAAAACTGTAATATAAACAAATTAGCTTCAGATAATAAGCAGCTTATGGGATTTCAGTTAATAAGGAGGCAAGATTACTGTGGTTATCTAAGAAAGCGATTAAAGAACAAAGGTACAGTTTCTTCACTGTAAGTGTTGTCTTGAAATGAGTAACAGTCTGCCCTTAAAGACATATGCCCAAGTAATTCTACTTCTTCCTTTGCCATATGTGGTAGAAGAACAACTTCCTTTAATTTTGCTAGAACAAAGTCAGGAAAATTAATATTTTAGAAAAAGCTTATGTAGAGCATTCCTAGGTTCATCTGCTGACATGGACCTTTGTGAACTAACTGTATAATGAAGTAAAAACAGTGAGCCTGTACCAGACTAGTTTTTCTTCTCTAAAATTTTTCCAAGAAACTTACTACTAGAAAATAACATAGGGAAATACTGAATTATGCTCTTAAAATTAAAATTCATAGAGAGCAATTTCAGATGCTGCAGCTTTGCCTGTAAAAGCAAATACTGAAATAGACCACTTCCTGAATTACAAGAAAGCTAGTGTGCACAGCAACTTAAATTGCATCCATGTTGAAAGAGGAACTTCCAATACTTCCGCAGATTTTAAATTCCTCCCTCAATCTTCCCTCAACTCTGATCAAAACTGCTTATAGTAACAGCACTTCTTTGTGAAATGCTGCTAAAACACACCACTGCTAGTACGAATGCTTTCAATACACTCAAAGCAATTATGCAATGGCCAACCATTGTGCACTTTTTTCCATCAGAGTACACACAGCAGAATAATTTCCAGTGCCATCAGGCAATTTAATAAACAAAACAAGAAGCCCTCCTGTGAACAATGAAGTCTGAATGTTTTCCAGTTCTTAAAATAATGTTATCTGGCTTCTTACAGCAACTACATTTTCCAAACACATTATGCAGTATCTTTACCTGCGTTTGCTAGCTGCCCACTCCTTAAAGGTGAGGCCAGGCAATTCCATCCAGTCTCCAAAACTGATTGTTAGCATAGAGCCTTCCATGGACTACAGAGAAAAAAACAAGATGCATAACCAGATACATTTCAAACAGATGCATTTATGTAGAACACAGTGAAGTTGTTCTCACTGTATTCCTTTAGAGCAATAAAATACCAGAACATAACATAATACCAGGACATTACATGAAGCGTTGATGAACTACTTTTCGTGTTACAGTTAAGATACTATTTTAAGAAGCAACTACATGATCTAATAAAGCAGAAGGTGAAGAGAGAACAAGTGAAAGGGAAACTAAAAGCAAGTTATTTAAAATACAAAACAAGAAGAAATAAGTCTGAAACCAACAGGATATGAACATTAAGATTTAAGATTTTGTATAAAAAGCACCTGGAAACAATGCAAAGACAGGAGAAAAAAGTAATAGAAAATACTCATTATAATTCATTAAACTAAAACTAATAAAAACCACGTAAGACAGCGGTCATGGTCATAAATCCCCAAATTAAGGACAACGTTTTCCTTCCTTTCATATCATTCTAACATATTTGGGCTTTGGTAACTGACCAGTTGAAACTGCAATTGCCATTACTATCTAAAACAACCTTAGATAGTAAGAAAACCCCCAAACCACAAAACTATCAAGTTATCCTGGAAGCGATATGAAATTTTTACTCACATGCCAAGCCCCACCAGGTGGTCCTTTACCAAGCACTATATGGGGAATATAATTATGTTGTTCTAGCTTCCAGTGCAAAACTGGTGGGTAGTCATACCCAAAGTCAGCATCAGGATGAAGCAGTGTATCAAAAAGCACTGCAACTGGGTTTGAAGAGCAGCCTTCAGACAAGTACTCCAGATCCTAAAGTATGAAAGAAAGTTTGATCTGTTCATGCAACTTTTATTGTTCATTGTGCTGTTCCGATATACAGAAGTTGAATTTCAAAAGAAAAGACAATTAGTTCAAGTTGCATTTGAAGTAGAGATAAGTATTTAACGTAGAGATTCAAACACAACACTTTTCAGAAATAAGTGCCATGATTCAGTTCTTCTGTAACTCTGAATAATATATTTCACTCATTTAAAAATTACGTGTTAATAACACAGTAATACTGGGGCAGGTCAGTATTTGAAATTCATTGTAGAAAAAGAAATATAGGGACAAATATTCAGAGATCAGAGCAACTTAGTAACATATTTATAGATAGTGGACTGCTTTTAACAAAGAATTGCTAGTATTTCTAGGAGGCACATTTTGATAAAGCAAAATTGGAATCTAAAAACTTTAAGTTTTAAAGATTGAGTAGAAAAAGCTCCTTTGACAGCTCTTAGGTAGGTCCACCACTAACTTTATTATATTCTGAAATAATGGAGATATTTTAAGTGTTATTTTTAAAAATTAATTAAAACTAGGCTTATTTTACAAAGCAGTTTGTTGAGAACTATTTCTACAACTTTTTAAAATGTTCACATTTCAGCATCTATTAACCTGCCGTGTTCCAAAAACTTCGCGATGCAATGGCAAATATTTGAAGACAGAATAGAGATCTGAAGAAAGAATTGGCCATAAGGCCAATTTTTGCTGACAAAGACAGGATGGTTTAGCTTCCTAAATTGGGAAAAACTCAGGGGGTCGGTGGAGGATGAAGTACCTGAAACATCTGTAGCCAAAAGTTTAGGTAACTTACTCTCCTGCCAAAAAAATAAACTTTGAGGCTTGAGGTCAACATTACATGCAAGCAACCCCTGCTTCCCCACTACAAACACATATGCATGTTTGTATTTCAAATAAATTAGTCACACAGGCGATACAGTTAGTGATAGTATTGTGAGTAATCCATCAGGAATATAGTGAAGTGAGTAGAAAACCATGATAACATGGCAAACAAATGGACAAGTGGGGAGAAAAATAATAGAGAAGATTTAACTAATCAAATGAGATAAAGACTGGATGTATAGGCGGATAACAAATACATCACAAAAGCAATTGAGTGCAACACAAACACTGAAGGATGCATACTGTTCAGAAAAGAAAAATGGATTGTGTTTATAGAGGATATACATTCCTAATGTTACTAAAAAATGAAGTGTTAATGAGAATTGTGCTATTTAGGAAGATTTTCACTTGAAGTATGTGTACTTGAAGTATGTTAGTGGCATGTGTTCTTCTACGATAGTGCCCAATCGTCCTAGGACATGAAAGCTGGAATTCCTGCATCAGCTACTCCCTGAGCAAGTGGTGCTTTAGACGCTTTTGGCAAGCAGTAAGAACACAACAAAGGGCAGATTTCACAAACAAAAAGCCCTCAAGAATCACAAAAACCACCACACGCCCCAGGATTGGATCTAATGGTCTAATGGAGTTGATTTTACTTAAATTAACAGAATAACACAGTAACTTATTAATGCATTAGAAATACAATTAGGTAAGTGGGCTGGTTCTTCACAATGCAATCTCCATAATTTTTTTGTATAAGCAGTTCTTAAAATGTATTGCTTTTCATCTGAAGTGCCCTATATATAATTTGTTACAAGCCATTGAAGAAGGTATATACTGCTCTTTATTTTACAGGTAGGAAAAACAGAGGCCAAGAGATAAAGCTAGTTGTTTGAGGCCATACAGTTACTGAGCTTTACTGTGGTCTAATTTGTGGGGTGAGAATATTAAGTCTTTTTTTGTCTATGGCACTACTTACGTAAGTTGCAAAAGCATTTTAAACAGGATCATTAAAGAAAGCCTACTGTTTCATAATCCAGCTTGCAGTAGGAAAAAAGCTAGACAAGATGGCAACCAAGGCCAGGTTGGACGGGGCTTTGAGCAACCTGGTCCAGGGGAAGGCGTCCCTGTCCATGACAGGGGGGTTGGAACTAGATGACCTTTAAGGTCCCTTCCAACCCAAACCATTCTATGATTCTATGATGATTCAAAGCTTACTTGATCAACAATGGAAAGATGTCGAGCTTCTTCTAATTTCGTATGTAGAATGGGGTTCGGGTGTATAGCTTCAGGAGATAAATATGGCCTGTATCCAGAGAGCAGGTAAGAAAGACAAATTCCTGAAGGTCCATTTCCTATTAAAGAAAGAAGTTACTGCTTTAGTAAAAATGTCAAAGCCTAAAGTTTTTCAGTCACTAAATAAGCAGCAACAAAATCATACTAAAGTAGTATAATGTGATACTGTCCTGATTCAAAGCAGCTTATAAACTTCGCAGTAAAATAAAACCTACCATAGGAACTTCCTCCAAATAAACGGAGCAAAACGTTTTTCAGGTAACAAGAAATAACTGACTGTTTACATGTCATGAAATAAAATGCATATAAAGGAATTTCCTAACTAAGTATGTCAAATTGTGTGAAAATGATCCGATGGATAAGATCTAGTCTGCCTGTCAATCACAGTGATATCTGAATATTATTGCCTTTTGCCTTCTTACAACTTTGTGTTGCCACTTACACTGGGTACTGTAAAACACAGAACAAAAAGACAACCTAGAGTATATGCTCTTCAAATCTGATCATAAAATAAAAATGAAGAAAAAGAGACAAGCAGAAAGCTGAAGACTGTGCAAGTCAGATGAGAAGCTAGACACAGCACAACAGCAATGTAAAGCTGAATGACGACAGATACAGTAGGTAAGTCGTAAAGCACAAGAAACTCACGTAAGACCACATTCATCGTTCAGCAATAGTATCGATTCAAACATCCTCCTATATCCCTTTTGTAACAGTTTATAATTAATTTATGGGCATTATTGCAATTTTAGTAGACTAACTTATTTTCAAATTGTTATTAAAGGTACGAAATGGATGGGAACAAAATGTTACCATAAGGTAATTATTTCTATTTGTTTGTCTAGGACTAAACAAAGTAGGGGACCATATTTATAACATGCAAATACTGAAGTAATGCTCATGTTGCCAAGTCAGATATCAAAAGCTAGGGAAAACTAAAGTCAGAAAAATATGTGCTATGATACAGAATTTAAACATGTGACTATGTACTGTTATTTCTATAACTCCTCTTCCTCATTAACTGAATGAAGAGCAGTGTTCTCCTAATGAGGCACTATTCAGTATTTTGTCTTTGTTTTCCATCTAGAGTGCCCCACATGGTATTTACCACACAATATTCCAATTCTGGGCTAAACATAAAGTTACTAATTCATTCATGTTTTTATATAGCATGCATTGTTAGGATGTTAGCTCTTACTTTCTACTGTTTCAACTCTTGATCTCAAGAATTCACCCGTCATTTCCTGTTCCCCATCACCTTTGCACACATTATTTCCATCACCTGTTTCCAATCCCACTTCTCCAATGCCTCTGTCTTCTTCCTTTTCTGATTTCCCAGCCCCTAAATCCCCCCATCAGTTTGCTGAGACCTTGTTCATTCCCAGCCTCTTCATACATCAGATCTCTTTTTCCTCCTCCACCAAGCTACACTCATCACTCTGGTTCCCAGTAGTGTTATATCCCATACTTTATTACAATGCTGAGTGTGTAGACTGATCACAGCCATGGGCTACAAGAAAATCATGTAGGCTCACTATAGATGAGCTCTTCAAAGGCTGAGACTGCTAAGTTGTAAAAAATCTTCAATCAGCATGTTTTCTCCCAAGGCCTAGAACATGAACAAGTATGTGAGACTGCACAATGAGTCCCTTAAAGGCTTTTACCAAACAATCTGGGTTTCACACCAGAATGTGGAGGCAAAAATAAAGGCATTAGAGTGCCTGTGTACCGTAAGGATCATAAAGCACCAGAAAAAGACTGTCTAGGAAAGCCATGGATTTCCATCACTGGGATCTCCAAGACAGTTAAATCAAAAGTCTGTAACAAAAAGTTTAAATATTGGTCATCCTGCCTATATTATTTCCCAAACCACTTGCATTCTTATTTTTCTATTTACAGAAAAGACCGTTAAGGAATCTTTCAGACAGCGAAAATGCTCTTCTTTACTCTCACGCTGTTCTACCCTCCCACAAACAGACCAGCATGAGAGTCCAGGAATTAATTTAAAGCTTAAGCCTGATGCAAGCCCTTCCAGTCACCCACTGGCCATGTTGGACATGGACGTGAGAGAGAACCTTAGCAATACATTGAAACCATTGAAAATCGTATGAAGCTGGGAAAACACTCTAATCTACCTATAGTTCACAAGCATTCCCATGACTGAGTAAATTCTTAACTATTTTTAGAACTGTATCTTGTGCATAGTAAAAAAAATTGTTTCTTTTTACAAGTGCATAGCTAGATTTTTTTTCCTACTGGGCTGTAAAGGAAGCTAGTCCATAATGGAAAGAGAAAAATGCGTGCCATATCCAGGGATGCCATGCTAAAGATTATTCCTACTGGGTAAGACTAAAAAAACCAAATGGATAACAGAAGTTGCCAAAACAAAGGCTGGCAAGGGCCAAGGAAATTACTGAGGACAGGATTAAGTTAAGGTGAATTACTGTCACTAAGCTACCTAGTCCCTCCCCTGGGACCATCCAGAGAGCCGATCCAAACCTAGTTCCTATTCTTTGAGCAGACTGAGTCCAAGGGAAAGAAATTCCCTTGTGGATATGCTCTCAAGAACACACAAGA